TCATCCTTTTGAAGCTTTTTCAAAACGCTCCGAAAGCATTGAAACGAAATGCTAATAAAAGGAGTTTTTGTTGTGGTGAAGAGAAGCTTTGCACAAGTATTTGCTCTTGTTTGACTCCAATTACTTGAACCTATGTCTAGTCCCTAATTTACACTTGACATTTTTTTCACTTAGTTTACCAAGATTAAGCTAAGCTCTTAGTTGCCTTAGTACAATTTCAAAGTTTTACTTAAGTTTGTAACCCCCCCTTACAAAGGCAATCATATATTTTCTTAAACACCCTAAGTTTAAGTTTCTCTATTTTATATATAAAAAATAAGGATAAATAAAGTAAGTTCAAGAAATGAACTACTATTGTTAAAATCTTTTTCAATAGATAAATTTACAATCAATAAAGCTCACAAAAAATGAATATTGTAGTAGGAAGTTAGTTAGAAATGAATGCATATGGTTGAGCGAAATAACTTCTTTGCATTCACTTTATGAATGAGTCATATTTATAGTTTATGTTGAGAATAAATCTGTTAGACTCATAAAGTTAGCCTTTGGAATGTCGTCCTTCTTTTCTTTTGAGTTTCTAAAAGAAAGTGGCAATAAAACAGTGGTTTATGAAGGCATTATGTGTTTTTAGCAACTTAAGAAAAGTAATGACCATATGCATTTAGTGCTCCCTGACAAGTAAGTTTAATAATGATAGAGCCAAATGCTATAAGGATACAAAGGGTTGTGTAAAATCATGAAAGTATATGATTGATAAATGAAGTTGTGTTTAGAAATGATCTATGAAGGTTTTTAGACTAATGCAATGCCCAGAAACTAAAATGAATAAAAAATGATTGAGAACAAAAGTTTACAAAATAGAGAATGTAAAATAGAACAAAAATCTTTATGTTAATACTGATATTAATACCAATAATACTAGTATTGATATGAAAAGGAATGACTAATATGCACATAACAATATGGGTATAGAACAAATAGAATTGGTGAAAATATACTAGAAGATGTGAGCATAATACCAGTATTGTTGAGCTTAGTACCAATAAGGATAGTAAGTTGTGACAAAAAAAGCTTGTACCAATTAAGACTCATTTGTTTGGGAAAAAGAGTTGATAGTACTGGTATTGAGACACTAGTACCAATATTGTCAAGCTTTCAATAAATAACTTCTATGCTTCTCAAAAAATTTAAGAAATAATTAAGTTTCCATAGAAGGCAACATTTTCGAGGATTTAAGATCCAAGAAAGTATAAGTTATATAAAATCAAATATTTTATTTAACACAATTTGAAATTGGAATTGAAAGTTCGAATAAGAACAGGATTTGTCAAAGTTTCAATACATATACCTCATTTCCTTAAATGGCTTGATTAACACATATATATATATATATATATTCCTGTTAAACACAATCTTCTCTAATATTTGTAATCATCAAAACTAAGGTTCAACACAAATAATAACAAATAATGCTACAAAACAACAACTAGACAAATATTAATAGAGAGGAGAAAACACTTGTGAACACCATGTGCATCTCATTGTATCGACCTGATGTTGGAGGACCTTGATAAAAATGAACTTACATTGCATTAGAAAACCATAAGAAAGAGTAGAAGAATTATAACATGTTTACAATAGAAAAATGCTCATTAGTCTTTTAAGAAAATCACAATTTGTCTAGACTTAATTAGACTAGCTTCAACTCAATTTTTCTAGTGTGTATTTGACAATATTGAGTTTTAGTGAAAATAAAGCAGTGTTGATAAATTTTTTTAGTTCTAAGGGATGAATGATAGTAAATTTCTATCCACTAAAGAAGGAAGACAAGTAGCTACAACTGCTTTGGATAACAGACATTTGTCAAGGAACATTGTAGTATGTCTCAAGGTTGCTACTCCTCTTGTTAAAGTTCTTCGCTTGGTAAACTCAGATGAGAAGTCAACTATGGGATTCATATATGAAGCAATGGAAAGTATGAGGAAGAAGATTAAAGAGAATCTTAACAATATCAAAAAAAGGTAAGTAGTGAATTTAATTCTTGCATTTAAATTTATAAATGCAATTTTATATCATAACTTTTCCTTTTATGATTTTTCTGTAATTATTGGTAATTTTTGAACATAATTGATGAGAAGTAGAAAACTCAATTGCATAGGCCTTTGCATGTAGCTGCATACTATCTCAACGCTCACTTTTACTATAAACATGATTTCAAAGTTGATTATAGGGTTAAAGAAGGATCGTATAGTTGCCTCTCAAGAATGGTTGAAGATCTAAAAGGAATAAATAAGAGTAACAATTAAATAACTTTTACTATGCAAGAGGCATGTTTAGACATGATAGTACACAAGATTTAAAAGCAAAAAAGCCCATGGCAGATTGGTGGGATTCTTATGGAGATGATTGCCTTGAACTTAAAAAAATTGTAATTCACATTTTTAACTTATGTTGTAACTCTTCGGGTTGTGAACATAATTGGATATTGCTTTTGAGATTGCATAATTTATAAATTTTAAAATATTATTTACATTGCTATATTAAATATTAGAATATTGATAAAGTTGTTTTTTTTTCTAGATTCCCACCAAAAAAGAATTGCTTGCATAAAAAAAGATGAATGATTTAGCATCTGTGATAATGTGTAATTTGCACTTAAGAAGCAAAGAGAATAGAAGATCTTTGTCTATATAACTTTGATGATATTCATTTAGATGATGAATACCGGATAATAGAAGAAAGAATAAATGAAGATATACATACAGCATGAAGGAGAGGAGGAGGAGGTTTTGCAGTCTATTAGAAATCCTAAGTATATTAACAATTCTACTCATGATCCAATGATAGAGCTTGGTGATTATTTTAGAGTTGTTTAAATGTTGATATAAATATTAATAGTTATAATCATAATAGTGAATATATAGATGATGATGTTGATGAACAATTTGAAGAAGATGAAAATGATAACCATAGATTTCTTTTTATTTATTTATTTATTTATTATGATTATGATTGTTGATCCATCATTTGAGATTAATGATGTTAGGTTAGAAAGTACTTGATAAAATTAAGGGATAAAATTGAAACTTTATATAAAATTAGATAACTAAATATGTACTTTTGCATAATTAAATCTATTTTACATAAATTAACAAAATTAAGTAATGTTTTTAAAAACATTTCTTTCAATTCAAAATATAAATGTCACATATATTTTCCATCAGATAGTATATAGAACACTTTACAAAAAAAATCAGTAATATTGAAAACTTCTTTTCCACAGTACCCATATTAATTGTATCATAAAGAGAAATTATATAAAAAATAAACTAAAGAGATAATAAAATTTTTAGTCCCTCAAATTCTCTTCAATTCTTGATTTAGTCCTTCAAGTTAATTTTTTTCAATTTAGTCTCTTATGTTTGCCTCAACTATCGATTTGAATCTTTTAATTTGAAGTAACGCTATTAAAATTTGCTAATATAAATGACAAAATATTGCTGGAATATTTGTATATTAATAAAAAGAAGGAAGTGTAATTTAGGTAAAAGTACAAACTCAAAAATGTTAAAAAATGATAAAGGGTAAAATGTAGCGTAATGTAACATGCAATTTTAACTTTAAGAATTAATTAGAGTTAATAGAAATTAAAGATCATATAAGAGTACTTAAATTTATTATAAGATTATTATTGCGATTAACGTAGAACATAATCCCAAGCTAATATTTTTAGAAAATGGGAAAAAAATAGTAATGTTTTAGTGAAACTAATATGTGTGGGTGGGTGGGTGTGCGTCCTTAAAATATTTTCCTACTTAAGGGATTATTTTTTATATAAATCGAATTATTTTTTACCAAGATATGTCAGTAAAGTTTTATTTTTGAACTGTAATATAATTTTAAACTATAACAATAGATAATTATGAAAGGTAATTAAAATACTTCCTAGGGGGAGGAGGAGGATGTGAAATAACAGAAAATTTAAATAATAATAATAATAGAAATTGATGGTCTTTTATAAAATTAAAGAAGTAAATTTTTTTTGGGCCAAAAACAAGTAAAGATTTACTCTTTCCATTTAAATTTTTAAAGATGCATGCATCCAGACTTAAATATTCAAACAACATTAAATGTCAAGCTTAACCTTACGTGAATGTAGAAAAAGACAAAAGAATTAATGCAAACATTTACTCCTTCCTATTCTTATTACAAGATGCTTTCAACTATTTTTCTCATTCCAATTTTTAAGATACTTTTAAAAAAAATTATGCATATCAATAAGTCTCATTAAATATACATTATAACCTTATATTTTCAAAAAAAAGATGTAAATTTTTAAAAATACCCTTTAATAAAGCACATTAAATTTTTGAAATAATATTAGGCACAAAGAGAGAGTGGAAGGGTAATATTTGAAAAACATAATTAATAAAATTTTATTTTTATCAAAGTGTCTTATATTACGAGACACTGAATCTCCTACAAAAAGTCACTAGAACCAAGTAATTATAGTTAATTCATTAAATGTCTTAAAATAAAAAAATTTAACTTTACCCCTATTAAAAATAAGAAAAGAGATATGCACAATATATTATACGTCATAAAATTAAATTTACAACAAGGGTAAAATTTAAAAATAATAATAAGTAACTGACCATATGCACCTTATATTAAGAACCAAATAATCTTTCCATTAAAAATACTTTATAATAGAGACCGGATGGAGTATATTATTAGCTTGTGTACATATGCAATAAGTGTATTATTGCACATATGCTATTACATACTCTATATGTATACTAATTCAACCAACTGCTAGTATCATGTCTATACTCTCATGTCAAACTTAACAATGTCCTCTTCAACATTTCTCTTCCTCTTCCTAATCTTCTCTCTCTTCTCAGCACTGATGAACCCCACAAATGGCCATAACTTCTCCATTTCACTTATCCATCGTAACTCTCCCTTGTCTCCCCTATTCAACTCTTCCATGATCCTTCATGATCGTCTCTTATCTTCTGCTTCGTCGCTCTATTTCTCGTGCGAATCACCTTCACTTGCGTGCCCTAACTTCCTCACAGGAATCTGATGAAGAACAACCACCGGAGATATCAATGAGGTTGTTGCCGGATCACTATGAGTACAAAGTGAACTTCAAAATAGGGACCCCACCAGCCATAGTTACAGCAATCATAGACACAGGAACTGACTTCCTTTGGACAAGAGAAGGATACTTTTTCTTGCCTGGGTCGTCTTCTACCTACACAAATTTGTCTTGTGATTCTGGAAATTGTATTCTTTTTGGTTCTCACAGAACTACATGCATTGGTACTGACCTCTGCACCTATGATGTGAGGTAATGTGAGTATTCTTAATTCGAAAGTTTGGCTAGATGGAAAATTAGCCCTTAAACTACATATCCCCAAGCATCTAGAAATTTAAACTTATTTTTTGTGCAATATTTTCTTTAAACATAAAATAGTATTGTTGTTAACAAATACTCCCTCCATCTCAAATTATAAGGCATTTTTTAAGAAGTTTTTTCACTCTAAAATATAAAATACTTTAGATAGATTAAAGTTTCATTAAATACACAAATTTTAATATTAACCTTTCTCTCTCTATAATTAATTTTCATCCATTTTCTTTTCATTATATTTCATAATGGGTATTTTTGAAAGTTTATATTTTTATTTTAAAAAGATAAGGTTGTTAAGTGTATTTAATAAGGTTTATTAGTATGTAAAATTTTATTTAAAAGTATCTTATAATTTAGGACGGAAAAAGTATTAATTTTGAACATTAGTTAACCAAAACAAATCACAGAAAAATCTTGAAAATTACAGAAAAAGATGAATAAAAATTATTTGTCATTTTTTATAATTTTTTGGGTCCTAATATATAATTTTTGATCATTTGCTGTATTTTTTTCATCATTTTATGTAATTTTTGGAGTTTTTTATATCATTTTCTGATCAATTAACTCTGAAAGTTAACTTTTATGAGCAATAAGAATGTTAATGCACCTTTTTTAAATGTTAAAGAAAAACATTACCCTATAAATAAATTTACGATCCTAGATGTTTCTCTAACTATAATTTAGATGTTAATTTACAATTGAACCCTCAAAAGTTCAATTAGCTACTGGAGCTTGTTTGGGTCAATTATTGTCGCTTGAAAATAACCTTCAAACTGTTATTTGAATGGTTTGAAAGTATTGAAATTGGGTAATAATAATATTGATGAACATCTCAATCTCCAAAGCCTTATGATGCGAAGTTGACTGGGGCCAGCATAAGATGGTTTCAGTTTCAAGTTTCTTTCGATGTTTTGGTCAAAAAAAAAAAAAGTTTCTTTCGATGTACTCTCTCTCTCTCTCTCTCTCTCTCTCTAAATTTCATTCATGCATTATTTAATATATTTTAAACATTTTGTCATTAAATAATGTAATAATTTTTTAAATTCCATATTAATTTGAAAACAGAGAAATAATTGTATTAAAACAAAATATAACATTATTTTTTAAAAATATGAGCCATGAAATTAGAATAAAAATTTAGAATTGGATACATTAAAATTTTACTATAACAATGTATATTAAAAGTTTCATATCAATCAAATTACAATTTAAATGTTTAATATATATTTATAACATTTTTTAACAGGTTCAGAGACGGTACAACAACATCAGGGGTTCTTTCATATGACAAATTCTTATTTGACTCTCCAGATGGTTCAAGTTTAGTAGACGTGGGTTATATGATGTTTGGTTGCTCTGACAGAGCTTCCAAAGAGTTCAACCATGAAGATAGCACTATAGGCCTCAATCGAGAGCGATTTTCTCTCATCTCTAAATTGCAAATAAAAAGGTTCTCACACTGCCTGGTGATCCGAGATGATAGACATGTTGCACAAAATAGAATATACTTTGGATCTAAAGCCACTATCTCCCAAACTGGCCTAACGCCATTAGTTAAAGACATGGAGTCTGCATATTATGTCACTCTTGATGGAATCAGTATAGGCCAAACCAAAGTTCCAATCCCAGATGGCGTCTTTCACCTCAAACCAAAGGGTGATGGAGGAGTCATACTGGATTCTGGGATCACTTTATCAGTGCTAGTATCAGAAGGATTTGACCCATTTCTGAACACAATGAGTCAAATTGTGCAGAAACCCATAAGCAAAAGTGGGGATTTTGAGATGTGTGTTGGGGACTTGGATTCTATACCAGATGTGATATTTCACTTCTCTAATGGCGTTGATACGAGATTGACAGAGGAAAATATTTTTGTAGAAGTTGATAATAAGCTTTGGTGTCTTGCAATCTTGAGGTCTAAAGTTTCCATGTCTGTCATCGGGAATTATCAAATAAGGAACTTTTGGGTCGGCTATGACCTTGAAAATCTTGGGATATCTTTTATACCAACAAATTGTCCCACTAAATTGTAGCTAGTTTCAAATTATTGAGGCGTATTTTAAGCTAATATTAATTAATTAGCAATGGAGTGTTGTGTTTGTAGTTGTTTATTGACTAATTGATGAAAGTACAATTTGAATTTTGTTTCTAAATTTTATCCATATACTACATGAAATGTCAACTTAGTTGGGCCAAACATTAGAATTTCAGCTTAACATACGATTTCACGATTCTAGAATTGTTAAATAGTTCCTCCATCTGATCAGCTTCATTCGTTTTTTTTATATAACCATCAAATCAAAGAAATTATCTTTTGAATAGAAAACAATTTCATTTGACTAAAAAACTCAAGTTTGAAAAATGTTGGTTGAAGAGAATACTCAGTTGCATGGTGATAAAATTCATCCAAATAACATGTCCATCCATTAAACCTAGAAAATTTGTGGTCTTATTGATGCTTAATTAGTAGGGTATTGATGAGACCAAAAGAAATATTCCCTTGGTTAATTAGAAAGGAAGTGTTGTTTGGACCTACCAAGTTTAAGGAATACCAAGCATGTAAATGTGGCTCTAATTGCTAAGCAAATTTTGCCGAATTCTACAAGCAAAACCTCATTGGTTGGTTTGTAACACATTGAAGTTGAAGTACAAGTGCATCCTCACAATGAATTTTCATTGAAGAAGCCTTTCAATGCTTCTTGATCTTGGAAGGGTATCTTTGATTCATCTGGTCTTTTCATGGATCAACTCAAATGGCAAGTTGGCAATGGAGCTTCCATTCTCATCACTCATGAGCTTTCGTTATCTCCTTCTAACCTTTCTATTGCCAGATCCCTTAATGTATCCATAGTAGCTAATCTTTTCATTCACAGGCTTAATTAACTTGTGGTCTCAACTCAGTTGGAATATTCCTTTATTAAGAAATTTGTATGATTTGAATTCAATTTAACAAATCATTAAAATTTCATCATCTTTCTGTGATTCATTAGATGGATTAAACTAGAATTCTAGCACCTATATACTTCAACGAGGTTTTTGATTTCTTAACAATCATGCAAGGGATTCACCCCTTGCAAAGGAAAGCATTTGGGAGTTTTTTTTTTAATTATATCTTCCTTGTAAAACTCTACTTTACATATGGAAATTAGTACATAAAGCAATATCTACAAGTGATGTTCATTTAGCCCATCATGTTGATGCCCCAATTATGTGTCTTTTTGGTCGTGACTTATCATGTTTCCTCATATTATCAGGATACAAAATTATTCTATCATGATAATTAAGAAGAGATTAATCATATTCAAAGTTTATCATGGTATAAAATATTAAAAATAAGTTTAAAAGTCTCTACCATAGTATAAAAGATGAAACTAGTATAGTGGAAGATTATCATGGCAAAAGTTTAAAAATAAATTTGACAAGTATAAAACCAGTGAAAATTGGGATCTCAAAACTTCAATAATCATTTTCAAAGTCATTGAAGTCAAGAAACATTCTAAATCAGAGAATAAAAACATTTGGAATTGCCTGAGAAATAAGAACAATTTGAAAACCAATTCAAAACAAGCCAAAATTAAAAGATTAGTTTTTGCATTTTTTTAACACTTCTATCACGGCACATTGCACATTTTTCAAGGTAGACAACATAGTAAGGATCTTTCGTGTCATAACACACAATGCATTTTGACATATTCTTATTATGTCATGTGCCATGGTACATTATATGTTATTGCATGATAGTAACTTTTGTTATTATGACAGCACCAAGAACAAAATTTTTACGTGTGTCACTTATCTATTTGATATTTGATTAAGGTGATTTAAGCACCAACATAAATCCTATTCAACTATTTAGTTAATGGTACAAGTTTCACACCAAAACAATGTGATGCATTGAAGTTGGATACCCAAATACCAAAGTGTAAGGGGAGGGGGCCAATATGAGATGAGGGGAGTCAAAAATTTACCAAGTAGAGGGGATTCGAACTGTTTATTAAAATAATTGATGTAAAATAATACTTCTCTCCACTAGTTATACAAGATAATTGTTGTAGAAAAGCCAATTTTTTTATTTTTTTTTTAAATTTTATTTAAAGAGACTTTCTACCCCAAGTTTACGCAGACCCAGTGTAGAAAGTCTTTATTTAAAATTTTATTTAATTTATATGTACCTTAATACATTGCTTCATAAAAATCAATGTAGGAGGGCAACAATTTTTATTTTTTAATTTTTTTTCAAACTTTCTACATGGAGTCTTTTTAAATCCGATGTAGAAAGTCAACAATTCTTTTTATTATTTTTTTTAAATTTTATTTCAAACCTTATACATTAGGTCTTCTTAGAATTAGTGTAAAAAATCTTTGTTATATCGATTGTAATGATAACAGGTGTAGAAAGCTGAAATCAATTTAACTCATTTATGAAATTATCATTACACACACTTTTTACACTACTACAACTGGTGTGGAAACAATTGGTGTAAAAAGTCTTGACATTCTATACTATTTATAAGATTGAAGTGAAAGTTCTTCCAAAAAATAAAATAAAAAAATGACAGGGCACTTTTTACACTAGTTCTATCATTATTCTTTCTACACTAGTTATTTGACACAATTGCTGTAAAAAGTATTTTTCAATAATTTTGGTAGAATCTCTTCTAGAAGTTTGACCTTTCAATAATTTTACAAGAACAAAATAAACAATTTTAAATCATTCACTGCTCTCCAAAAAAAATTATTAATTACATATTAAATAGAATGTGATTGAAATGAGGAATTGTTAGTTTAGTTGATAAAGATTTAGTCCATAACTCACAAAGTCATAAGATCAAATTTTGCTGCCAATGTAAACACTCTTTGAACTTAAAGGTCTGTTCTAACTCTAATAAATTCCAGAACTCAACTCACCTAAACTTTTGTTTATATATATATATATATATATAAAGAGTGCCATTGAACTTGAAATTAACTAAAAAAAATCAACTTCAATACCCTTTCTTGATTATCGCTATTTCCAAGATTACCCCCTAATTAAAATCAATATATATCATTTGCCTTTTATTTATTTATTATATAATCTCTCTCTACAATAAAATTAATAAGGACATTTGTAGAAAAAAAAAGTTTGTAATGTTACTGGAGGGAGTAATTTTAAAAATATTATTTAATTTTCTTGATTTATGTAATATATATATATATATATATGTGCGCGCGCGCGCTCAAATATGCGTATATCCAAGCTTAATATTCAAACAACATTAATTATCAACATTAGCAATGAATATAGAAAGAGACAGTAGAATTAATGTATATTCTGCCTCTATTATAAGACGTTTTCTTAAAAAACTCTTTAGTCCTTAATACATAGAGGGTTATTAATTAAAATTTCCAATTTTATCTCTAATAAATTACTAAAAAGAGAATTTAATTATAATTTAGTATTTTTTATAAGGCTCCTTGAATGTTGTATCTCTCTCTTTAGTCGGGAAAGTTGAATATTTTTTAATTCAAAGATATGTTTAATGAATTAACCATCCTTCTTAGTGAATATAAACAAGGTTATCAAACTCGCAAGTTTAAATAAACTCGTGATAAAAATGTAAACTCATATCATAAACTTAAATCATAAACTAGTAAGAGTTTATCTCTATTAACAAATAACTATGAAAATATGATTGTAATTTAATTTAAATATATTCAAAATGTAAATCATTGAAATTAAATATATCTACATTGATAAATTATCATATACAAGACATAAAAATTTTAAAATAGGAAAACTTATTTTTTATATTTTTGTTTTCTTTTTTATTAACATTAGTTTTTGCATTTCAATTTTTTTCTTTTTAAACTAGGTCTTATAACTTTTATGAAAAAAATTCTTCATAGTATATACTTAATTCGATCAATTAAAAAAAATTAGCAAGCTTAACAAATTTAACCAAGCTTGCATTTAGTTCAAGTTTGTGAATTAATTGGCACGATTTTATGAGTTAGAAATGTAAAAATGTTAAATTCGCGAGTTTAACTAAGTTTATATCTAGTTTGAATTTATGAATAAGTTGATATGATTTTGTAAATTGAAAACTTAAAAATATTAAGTTTGTAGAGTTAATTTAAAAGTTTGATAACTATCAATACAAGAGTGATTCTGAGTATCAAAATAAACTCAATATTGAAATCTAACTAACAATGGCGGAAGAAAACTCCCCCGCCTCGCACCAGGAAGAAAACAACGAGAATACATTGTCTCCAAGAGGGTTACGCACATTAATTTGGGTGTGGCCCACACCCGTTAATCCTATCCTTCTTTCATTTTTTTATTAATTATTATTAATACTGAAAATTTCTTTTATTTCACATAATCTATATATTCTTCTTATTATTTTTTATATTTTTCTTAGGAGGTATTTTAATCCCTTCCATTATTATCTCTCGTATTAGCTTAAAATTACGTGACACTCCGAAAATAAAACTCAAATTATATACCTTGCTTAAAGATAATTCTCATTATATTCAAAATAAACCCTTAAGTAGGAAAATAATTTAAACATGCATACATGTGTGTGTTGGTTTTGTGGGCGTGTCCACAAACAATGCAAAATACCTGACTTCTTAAATCAAATGATGAGTTCCTAAAGTCCTTTACTACAATTTTCCTAAATGCAAGTGCTTAAAAATAAATGAAATGAAGAAATAAAGATGGAGAAAGATGGGACACTTGCATGATCAAAGAAGACATGATATTAATAATGATAAAAGAAAAATTACACACTCCCTCCGTCCCAAATTATAGGATACTTTTAAAAGAATTTCTCTGTCCCAAAATATAAGATACTTTGGATAAATTAAAGTTTTATTAAATGTACCAATTTTAATATTATCTTTTCTCTCTCTATAATTAATTTTCATCCATTCTTTTTTTAATGTATTAAATTTGTTTATTTTTGGAAGTTTGTATTTTTGTTTTCAAAAAATAAAGTTGTTATGAGGTTTATTGGGATATAAAATTTTGTCTAAAAGTGTCTTATAA